TGAAAAGACGGGAGTGTCTCGTCAGGTTGCATGATGATAAATGAAGAAAAAAATAGGGTTTCAATCCTTTTTATTCAACACAGAAATATACGTTGAGTTCTCTTCACATCGGATCGACAGATGGGACAATACCGGAAGGTGGGAGCACATAATGAACAGCAACATACGTGTCCACAAGGGAGTAAAGCCATTTGTAATTCTCCCTCTAAACAAATGTGACATTTTCCTGTGGCCTGAATCTCTGTAGAGGTTTGCTCTAGTAGAGGTTTAATTTCAGGTGAAACTTTGTATCCCACCCGGAGTAAATGGTTAATAAATACGATCATCACCCACTCACGTCCTTTATAGGTATTGATGTAAGGACAATTAGGGTTCCAATAAGCATGTTCTACATAAGGATCGTCTGTAGGTTCTCAGTTGGTAAAACCCATACCACAATGAAAACAAGTGGTCTTATCACTCACTCCCCTGTAAAAAATCCGGCTTTGGCTAGGTTGGGTAATAATCCTTTTAAAGACTCGGGCCATCCCTCTTTAAAGGTAGCTTCTCTCTTTAAGAGCAGAGCATAGTTAGGGTAATGAGGAACCCCCTCTGGCTCCCTAGAATGATTAGCCATGACTGAAGTGTTCAAATATGTTTGCCCCCTTTTTATAACCCCTTCATATTTTAGGGGGTTTTCCCACATAAAATAAAAACACATTTTGAAATACAGTTTTTTTTAATAACCAGAAGGTAAAGTATTATAATCATTCATTAATTGTCTCTTATCATAGACAATTCTATATTGTTTTTCTAAAGGTACTGTCTTGACTTCATGTTGACGAGTCCTCTGTATTTTGTAAGGATACGAGACTTGGATTTCATCCATTTCTTTCTTGAGCATTTTTTCTAACGTCTCTGGTGATACGATATTGGAAGCCCGATAATTAAGAGTCAATCCTTTGACTTTACACACGGAATTTCCCTTGGCGGTAAGGTAAGCATAATTTTTAGGACCTCCTGACATGAATTTGATAATGTGGTCCCCGTCTAATTCATCAGTCCATTCTCCTAAACTGTGGCCAAGGGTAGGATTAAATTGTCCCTCCTTATGTTGGTATATGATACTGTCCGTATCGAAATAAAGGACCCGATCTCCTAAAGGTTGTAAAGTCTCGTAGAGGTGTAATCGGGCATGAGCGGTAGTGAAACAGGCCAGTACCACGTTTCCGAAGGGACACTCTTCTACAAATTCCTGTTTCTCTTGATAATTCACTAGCATCATGTCCAATTCCGGGTCCTCTTTATTTTCTAAGAGTTCTAGCCCTTTGATGTCAATGGTCGAATCTTGTAAGAGTTGCTGTACTTCCTCTTCTTCGGTCAAGTATCGAGTTTTAGGTAATAACAGGCGTTGAGCGAATTTTCCCCACAGGCAATTTAAAAAGAGTTTGGCTATCGTTCTTCGCACCGGATTTTTTTCTATACTTAATAGGTCCATTCTAATGCCTTCTCTGTCTATGACTTTACGAATGTAATCTAGTTTTTGTTCCTCCGTCTGACAATCAGGTGGGAATCCAGACGCTTCCTGTTTGATCTTTAAGAAGGTATCGATGTAAGATCTGAATAAATCTTGACTGCTTTCTGGAAAATGCCAAACCTCGTAAATCCGCTCTAAAGTATATCCCATGTCTAGGGCTTTATGTAATTCTGTAGTCACCCAAGTACCTGTAAGACTGCGTTCCTGGTCTGTGTGTTGACATCGATGTTTAGAAGTTGAGTCCTGTCGTTCCGCACAGGTTCGACATAATGGAAATAATAACTTGCCTCCTGTGCGATAAGGTAAAACGGGGTGATAGAGGCCTCGGGGTGGTAAGACCCGACAGTGAATGAGGCCGAAGTAAGTTCTCACGTCCTGGAAGTCGTCTGTAATGATCTGAGGATGGCCTAGGGGAAAAGGTCTGTGTTTTAACACGTATGGGTATAAGGAACAGACGTCCACGTATCTCATGTCCCCCTCCTCACAATACAATCTTGTAGCATTGGTCCGGCCTCCGTACAGGGCTTCTCGGGGGTTCAAAGGATCTGGAATGTCCAGATCTCGTATATAATTCTGTAATGCCACCTCTCTTTGTACTTGTTGATCGAAATCGTGTTCCCAGATACTATGTACGGAGTACCCCATTTCCTCTAAGACCGTATTCCTCCTTAAAGTTTCCTCGTGTAATTCCTGGTAAGTAAATTGTGTCCGGTGAGGATGAGTTTCGGTCTGTAAATTCGGATAGCAAGTAGGGCATCCGTGCCAATAGCATCCGTAAAATTCGTAGATGGTACGAGTAGCTTCCTGGTATCCATCTACAGTATAACTTCCGATCTTCACTTCTCCTCCGTTTCTAGCATGTCGTATGTGAGATCCGTTCTGGTGACTCATCCAGGTTAGCCACCGACAGGCTTTGGCGGAATATTGACGCGCAGGCTGATACCCCATGTTGGGAATGATGGCAATGGTATCTTCGGGCATGAATCCTCGACGGTAAGCTAAATTGGCCGCACTGGCAAAAGTGATGGATTCCTGGAAGGGGTCTACATGGACCAAGCTCTTGAGAGTGGCTCGAAACTGAGCACAGCATCGTCGTAAAATATCGACGTCTGAAATACAATAGTCTAAAAATTCCTTCTGGAAATCAAACACTTTTCCGGCTTGTTGTTCGTACCATTGGTAAAAAGCCTGTCGTCCACTAATAGACATGTCGTCCGGATTGTAGAATGCCGCCGGTGGATAAGGCCCCACATAATTCTGGTTCTGTTCTGTATTAAAAAAGTGAGGGAAATACCCTTTTTTCAGTTCTGTGAATCCGAAAGCAGAGGGCATTTTAGACAGAGCAAAAGGTAAAAAATTATAAGAGTCGATGAATTTCAATCCGCAGATTTGCATGGATAAGATTTTACTGCCGTTCATGATGACTGTAGGCGTCATGCAGGCGGAATGCACTAGGTAATTTAAAATGAACTGTCCGTCATATCCTTTGAAATTGTGGGCAATGATGATAGCCTCGTCGTGTAATAAGGCGGAATTCTTATTCCCTGTGTCGGGTTGTAATAACCAATCCATGAAGTGTTTTAAGGTATCTGGCCCTTTAAACACGTGTTGACGGGGTCCCATGTGTCGACAGTGAGGACAGGGATCTTCTATGGGTAAGTGCCCGCAATGCTGACATACGCGGTGTGCCACACATAAATTAGGGACGTGGATGCCGTTTTCCTGTGTACATTCGAAATCGAAATAAATATAAAACTGTAATGTCTCTTTGCCTTTCTTTTTCTTTTTCTCAGGCTTCAGTTGAACGTAGCACTGATGATCCGTGTCTACAGTTTTCTTACAGATCTTACATTGTTTCTGTCCTCCGCAATGATGATGAGGGAGTAATCGTTTAGGCATCCATTTCTCATAATGCTCGCATCGTCCCATTAAACTGCATACTGTTGTGGCCGTATTCTTACTGTGAGGCCGTAAATGGTTTTCGTAGCAAGTTCTGCTCTGAAAAAATCCCTGGCATTGATAACATTGAATGTGGCTCCCGTCTGGAGGGCAGGGAGTGTCCGTTAAACAAAAGGAACAGCGGTAAGGACACTTGGTACGATGGTCTGTAATGTTCCTGTACCCCACATCGCAATGATCACAATAGTATTGATTGGCGGTCACAGCTGGCATAGACAAAATGGCATCGTAATGATGATCGTTTAACAAAATGTTTAAACAAGTTCCATCTCCGCCGCCTTTGTATATGGGCTCCAAACTGAGTTTAGAGGAGTTGGACTTAAACTGATATATTTTCAGTCGATAGTGAGGGGCTAACACCTGTTGTAATTTCCCCCATTCTTCGGGTCCACAAGGCTGATGAATATCACACCCGGCTTGTTCCATGAGAGCTATAGCTTCGTTTTTCTGGTCATTAGCTCTTACATCACCCTTCCGCATACGTAGCCATCGTTTTTCCCATTCAACTAAACTCTCTGGAATTTTCGGTTTTTGACTGTGTAAACGGGTGACTACAATGGCTCGAGCTAAACAAAATTTATCCCAAGGATTGTCGATCTGAACGATGCATCGTTTATTCTTTTTAAAACTCTCCTTGTTGACCATCAGGTGTTTAGTATTCTGTCCACCACTGCCTTCTGGATATTTGACATGAAACATGTCGAATTCCATAGACCCGTCTCCCAGTTTAAAATCTTTCTTAGATTGTTGCACGGCTTCTATTTTGTCTAAAATGACGTCCTCGTTTAAATGTTTACATTGAGTAAACTCGTACCAAATGTCGGAATCCAGAGAAGGGTGGTGAATGTTCAGGCGTACATAATCGTTAGGGTTACACTGCATGTGATATTTGACATTCTGTAGCATGTCTCTAAATAATCGCCGAACAAAGCCTCTGTTTTCCTCCTCTGGAAATTCTTTAAAATTCACACTGTACACATCTTCTTTAGCTTTAAATTTTCTGGAATGCTTAGCTTGATTGAGTCTCACTTGGTAATACTGGGAAATGGTCTTTGGTTTCGGTGGTGGTGGTGGTGAATGGGGTGGTGATGGGGATGGTTCTTCTTCTTCAGGTAGATTCCGTAAACGTTGTAAGTGTTGAGCTCGGTTGGCTTTGGCTCTCTTTAATCTTTCCATTAATCTCGCATTTTTTTTCCTGAGAACTAATTCTCTAGTTCTCTGTCGAGAAATAATTCTTTCTAATTCTTTCTCCCGTTTTTTCCATCTCATAAGTTGTTGTGCATGTAACAATTGTTTCAAGGCACTATCAAAGTTCATCTTGATAGATCTGACAACAAAATGAGCTGAAAGTCGGAGAAAAGCTGTATTTATACAGTGTATGACGTCATAATAACTAGGTAGTTCGCTGATCCAAGACTAAGTATTGAGACGTACACAGTACGTACAAAAGGGTATATAAAGCAGAGCTGGAAATTTTAGGATCAGTCTTAGTGGGCATTTGTTACTAGACAGACGTAAAAAAAATATGGCAGAGGAAAAGTCCATGAATTCACCTCCACTCATACCAGAGACACAGGATAGTATTGAAGGAAATGAAAGAAGTTTGATATGTGATATCTTAGATCAAATGACCATGATATTGCAGGAAATTGATAATAATATAGGTCTGTTTAGAGAAGTGGTGATGCATGAGCTTCGTGAGTTTAGAGAAGAGATGAGGAATGAGATTCGTAATCTAGGAATGGAGAACAAGAGGAAACTTCCTACTACCCAGACGGAGAAGACCCTGAAACTCCAGAAGAAAAAGTAAATATTATGTACACATTACTTTGAATAAATCATCTTACACACTTTTGACTGTGTTATTGTTTTTTCCGTTTTCAGAAAATAGAGCTCTGTGTGAATGACACACATGACGTCACAATGGTATACTTGAATCGATGCCAAGATTGTGTATTGCCTAGGCCTGACTCAGCACAAAACGTAGATCAAACGTAGACCCCCCTTTTTTTTTTTACTTGGGTTTTTCCAGGGTGTATACTAGATTGAACCGGTCATCTGGGGCCCAAAAAAAGTGTACTCAGTTGACCCGCCTATCCAGGATCTGGGGGGACAAAAAGTGCACTCAGTTGACCCGCCCATCCAGGCTTCTTATACTACTAACCCCCTATGTCTTTGCCTGACAAGAATTTTCCTATCATAACCATGCAGTTTTTTTTTTGGTATCAAAAAATGACACAGGGTCATTATTCTACAGGGTCATTTTTCTACAATCCACATGGAGAAAAATGGCCCCAAGGCTACACTTTCTACAAATAAGTGGGTAATTTTTCTTTTTTCTACGTAGAATATTGCCCAGGGGGTTACATTTCTACATAGACAAATGATCCCCGGTCAATTTTCTACGGGGGTCTCTTTTCGTCGTTACACCGGTGAATAGTTCGATGATTATTTCACAATGGGCAAATAGAACAAAAACTACCACACGGTAGCCAGGGGCAGTTTAGAGAAAGTAACAGGTTTATTCGTCATATTTTTATATGAAAAAAAATCAGAATAATTTAATAATAATAAAATTATTATTTTGTAATTAATAAAATAAATAATTCAGGCGCGGTCCAGGAATTTTTTCCAGGGGGAGGGGGGCTGGGGGTGGTCCACCTTAGTGAAATAAAATTCCAACCCAAAATTTTCTTGACAAGCAAGGAAAAAAAATAAATAAATTCTCTTCCTATACGTATTAAACCCCAGAATATTTCTTGACAAGCTAAATTAAAACACACACACACACACCCTCACCCTCTCTCACACACACACCCTCACACACACAAAACAAAAAACGTAAAATTCATTTCCGAAAAACGTGAAAACACCTAGTTCGTGGTGGTGATAGTGGGGTGTACGTTTCCTAGAGGAGGTGCGAAGTAATTTTTTTATTTGTTTCAGTATATACTTTTAAGAACTCTGCAAATTCCCGGGGGGGGGGGGTCCCCGACCCTCCCCACCTTCTAGATCCGCGCATGTATTAAGTGCATAGCATGCAAAACGTTACCATTGTATACCTGTGTGTTCATATATGTTTATATATTTCATGTTTATTTGCTCACTTTAATTTTTTCTCTTTTTTGTTGCCGAAGATATAAGGAGCTGCCTCTCTTCCTTACCAGGAAAAAAAAATTAGTGATCGGAAGCGGTGAGTGCTACATTTTACATTAACTTTATTTTACAGATCACGTAACTTGGTTACATCGGAAATTGAGATCATCTGAAAATGTCCGGTTTCAATATGGCACAGTAGTTTTCCGTGAGTATATGTGTAATAAAACTACTGCGGTCATCAACCGTTCTGTTCACTTAACATCAAACAATGGGGTACACTGGTCTTATCTTTGTGTATATTCTGAAGCATATCTTAGTAGAAGGTAAGAGATGTGTACTGCGTACTATGGTTATACGTATGTTAACTTTTCGAAAAACAAATTAAATTTTATGAGCTTAACCCCTAACATATTGTTTAATTTAGGTGGTATTTACTTGCCTATTCAAACTTTTAAACTCTCTCTCTCTCTCTCTCTCCCTCTCCGTATAAATATGTGATTAATTTCGTCCACCACTGAAAACATGCCTAAAGATTCAATAAAAGATTTCTTGACCACTCATCTCCCATTTCATGATTTTATGATTTTTCTCTCAGTTACAGCTGAGGTAGAAATATTCATAAAGACACCGATACTATATGGTAAGGATAGTATGACTGTATACTGCGAGCCTCAAGAGGAGTCAAAGAGGTTAATAGACAGTATCAATATGATACGCATATACGTGGAACACAATGGAGGACCACTGGGCTCAGTAGCATCAAAATTGTCAAGAATCGTCAAAAACGTGGGGTTAAGAGGTTACGAAATTCAGTCGGGGCCTGCAAAGACAGCGAGATACAATATAACAGGTAATTGAGTATATAAGTATATGGTGAAAGCAAATTTCTAAATACAGTGGTTATTTTGATTGATCTTGTGTTGTTTTACGTCCGTTTCAGAATATCTCATCGCAATTTATAATCTGCATCATCTAAGATGTTTGCTTTTACCTCCAAGAGCTAAACGCAAACGTCAGGATGATGCCGAGAACACAAATTACAGGTATATATTTTTCCTAAAATTTTTGACTTCTACATTCGAATTCTACTTTAATATTCACAAAATTAACGCTCTGTGGATGTTTAAAATCCAATAGACGGTTGACATTTTTGTGTTGTAACACTAATTTGTTTTAAATAAACATGAGTTGTGAATTTGGTATTACATGTACCAGCTGTTTATTTTACCATGTTCAATAAAAGCATGGGAGACATATTGTTCTTAAGTAAAATTTAAATTAAATTAATATAACGAGTTTATTTTTAATTAGATTACAACATTTAAAAGGAGTAACAATTTTTACAGGTAGTATCAGTATGGTTGAAAAGGCATATCTCGGGGCATATGTAAAGAGCGAGGACGTTTTATGCTCCGACAGTAGACTTTTTCGCTGCGAAATGAGTTTTACTTTCAAGAATGGTACGAATGCAACTGTCTCTAAGGATAGGGCGACATGTGTCCAAGGTAAAAGTACTGTACATGTATACATGTACCTTTAAATTGAAAAATAAAGAAAAAAATGTTTCTAGGGTTTTTTTTTGTTTTTAATAATTTTATTATGATTAACCAGGGCCATGCAATGAGTGTAATTTTGGAATTCAAAATTTGGAAATAAGCAATGCCATGTCAAATGAAGATAAAATAATGAAAAGTAAGTTTCACTAAACGTTTTTGGTGTTCTTGAAATAATTTTGCTACAAAACTGAATTTTATTTTGAAGAATGATATGCAATAAAATAAAGCTTAATTGATGCTCTTGAATGTAAATGACCCACAATTTTTTGCGGTAAGTGTAAGATTTTAATAATTAAGTATTATGCAGTCGTTCACTCGGAAAGATTTGCATTTGCATTTTCAAATATGAAGTACCTAGCTAGTAAGAAAACGCATTGCTGTAAGTTCACACATTTTTAATATTTTGTTTTCAGATTACCTGTTACCTACTGGCGGAGTTCTTGCTTTGTTTGGTACTGTATCATTGGTAATAGGCATTGTTCTGACAATAAAATCTATATCACGACAAAGTAAGTATACCAAAGAAACAAATTAAAGAGATCTAAATGAGAAACTATCTTAAATCAGAATATTTGGAGATATTATTATTAACTTAAAATCATGTATGTTTTAATGCTTTTTAGGGAAGGAGAAGAGGTATGAATTCAAAACGTTCGAGATTTATACATTATAAACCTCCATAAGAAATCCCATATAAAAATACTAATTTGAAATATTTATTTTTTCTAAAAATGTTAACATAAACACTAGTGGTACGTGCAAATACCCGGTACATCTGTAAATATCGCTATTCTTTAACATTACAGAACCGACCCTAAAATACCACCAAACATCACAGATATCACGGGACATTATGCTGAGCCAGGTATGAAGTAAAACACTATATTAATTAACTTTTGTCTAGTTAATAAATTACGAGAGTAAAGTGATCACTGGGAGATAAATTTTTGGTAAAGGGTGTCACAATATTTGATCACGTGACAATTAAACTAAGTTAATTTCTACATGGTCTAATGAACTCTGTACCCTTGTTACCCTTTTCAAAAAATGAGATCCCTGTTACACAGTCTTCTGTAACAAGTTAATTAGTACTTTGCCTTACTATCAAAATAAACTCAATATATTACTAGTACTTAAAAGTTAAGCACACTTGTAAAATTCATGTCTTTGAGGCTGGCACATATATGTATTTGAATAAAACGTACAAAAGCAAGAAATTCACCTGATATATTATATATTATATATATTATAAAAACGTATTACTTAGTTCTTTTTTCTCGTCCATCTTCAACCATTTGAATTACAGGTACTGATGTTGAACAAATGTTAAATGGATTTAAGTTGTATTCAAAGTCCAAATTGAACTCAAATGGATTTTTAACAGCAAAATGTATTGCAAACAACATATCGATCACTACTATATTTGTAGTTGAATGGAATGTACATTTGCATTATAAAACCTAAAAAAATATTTAAGTAATCGATTAATGTGAAATAGAAAATGTGTAAATGGGAGAAAGAGTAAAATTTACATATAAAGTATATAAAAATGTCACTTTTATCATTTGACACAAGTTTTCACTATTGTAGACTGTGCCCATTAATATTGCTTAACTTTCTCTTATTTGTGTTTGTGTTTGAATGAATCAAGGAAAATTCGAACTGCGATAAGTTTGTTTTTATTCTTTTTTGAAAATTACATCATGCAGATATCACATGTTTAGACTGTAATGAAGTTTCCATTACATAAGTACATGCAACAAGAAACAACTGAAACCTAAAACAATGTGAACACTAGGAATTTCTCAAAGTAAACAACACGTGCTATCTTCTAGAATTGCTTTAATGTGAGTTTTACTATATCCAAAATCATTTTTTTTTTACATTCACATGCACCCCCTACTCTTTTATTTATTCCTATTTTCATATTTTGCAAGGATAAATTGTATTTAATCATAAAGAAAATAGTATTCAGGTTGATCAATGTTCTTTCTCTTTGCATAATACTATTTGTTGAAGAATCACATCACGTGGTTCAAATTAGACTTAACACGAACTTTAAGTCTGGGGACTTTTAATAATCTGTATCAAAAAGGGCTCAACAAAATACGTTATTTTGAGAAAAAAAAAGATTTTTTTTTCATTTTTCAGACGCTTTTTACAGGTAAGAATATATATATTGCAAACAAATGACAAATTCTTTCCTGCTTCATTGCTCAAAGTTAGACCATCTCCTCTAATGTTGAATTATTAATCCGTTTTTTTTTCATGTAAACCTGTAAATGAATAGTTCATATGTTAAAGTAAATCGCATTATCATACATCATTCGGGATCAAAATCATTGTTTCCTGAAAAGTAAGATGATATTATAAAGATTTAAGAGCCATTCTCTGTAAGGACGAACTTTTATATAGAAGCCGTCGCACGTATAGAATCAGAATTTTTCCAAATTAAACTATGATAAAAATTTTTGATACCATTAAATTATTTCAGGCAAAAACTAGTTGCTATGTGGTATGGTAACCATAACAACATGCCCTAAAGATTGAGAAATTACATTTTGATCATGTTCTGAAAGTTATACATAGCATTAAACCAGACTCTTGGATTACTGCTCACTTCCTTGAACTCGAAATAATCATAATATATTCTTTTATCCCGACACGTTTATTGTTATGTGGGTCTTGATCCCCTAGAGGTCATCCCACTCCCTGAAACTACAAATGGTGAAATATCTTCAAAACATCCCTTAATGCATCATCAGTGCAAGTTTCATCCATATAAAGCTTACAAAAACTTGGAATCAACCTGCTGTAAATACATTGACTACTTCACTTATCCAGAAAATGTAGGTCAGACTAATATAAGATCCAGCATCTGAAGCAAGTCCTGTGGTGTGCATCCCTCGATGCATCATCCATGCAAGTATGGTCCCAGTAAGGCTTATTGTTCCTGCTTCAAAAATTTGATCTATTCTGTCATCTAGAAAATGAAGGTTGTCTGGTAGTGTAGATCCCTAGACGAAGCATCCTTGCAAGTGTGGTCCAGGTTGAGCTTATAGTAACTTGGGAATGGACCTGTTCCAAAAACTTTAACCTCGTCAGTCATCTGGAAAATACAGGCCAGATCCTGCAATATCTAGTAATATGCATCTATAGATGCATCATCGATGCAAGTATGGTCATCAATGGAATGATAGGTACATGGGAATAGACCTGCTTTAAATACTGGTCACTCTTTTAAAAATGAAGGGATCAAATCCAGCATCTGAAGCATATCTGGTAGTGTTCATCCATAGGTTTATCATGAGTTCCTCATTGACAATATATATGTAGTCTTTGGAGATCAGGTCTTTCAACAATCTTTTGGAATTCAAATGGGCACTAAGTGTACTTCTTTATTAGCCAACCTGTTTTATATTCCTATGAAGCAGAATTTATTCAAATACTTCAACACAAGAAGAAAACTCTTGCTGTTACCTTCAACTTAACGTTTAAACATTTCGAAGAGGTTTTTATCAATAAACAATAGTTACATTCATTCATATGTCGACTCGATATATCCTAGTGAACTCGAAATAAAAGACACCATAGAATCTGACAATCTGTTTCATATTTGGACGTTTAATTGACAATATACGATAATGGCAAACTAACGACTAAACTGCATGACAGATAAAATGACTTCAGCTTTTCCATCCAGCTGATTCGATACGCAAGAGCATGCTCTGAGTACGATCAATTTCTAAACCAAGGCAAGCTACTGGGAAATAAGTTGAAGCTATAAGAATTATAACAATCCTGTTTTAGTCACCTGTTTCATATTTGGACGTTTTACTGACTATAGACGATAATGGCAAACTAATAACTAAACTGCATGACAATTAAAATGACTTCAACTTGTCCATCTTCAGCTTCCCATATTCATGTAATATTCCAACATCACCTGCATATGATGTCTCCCAGCTGATTCGGTAGGCAAGAGTATGCTCTGAGTACGATCAATTTTTAAATCAATAAAGAATTATAACAATCCTGTCTAAGTCATCTTTTCGCTAAGTGTACGGATGTTAAAGCCGTTTGTATACACAACCTATCGTTGGGTCTTATTTTGTCTTAAATATTTCAAACCATTTGTTCGTGCATCTTTTTCAATACTAAATTTGACTACGTAATAATCCGTTTACCTGATGAAAACAGGGCTCACGGCGGTTATAACCGGTCGGCAGGGGATGGTTTCTCCTCCTTAGCACCTAATCCCACCTCTGGTGTTTCAAGGGGATTGTGATTTTGCTCTGTTCACGATTTTTATCTTTGTATTTATGAGATTGATCACTGTTTGTTATCTTCACCTAATACAAGATCATCCATGCAAGATGGTCAAGGTAGGAAATACAGTTACTTGGGACTTGCTCCTAAAACTTGAAACAGGACGCCGACGCTAAAACCAACACCGACGCCAACGCAGGGATTATAACATTAGCTCATCTCGACTTTGTCGAAAAAAGGCTGATTGAAAATTTAGGATTTGATTGCACATACTTAGTTTATCTATCTCCCATTCAACATGCCAGAAAAAAATCTTAAAAGTTACAACTTACTTAATATAACTTCAATTGGGAAAATTTAACATTCAAATTAGGTTTTAAATTACTTTTAAAATTACTTTTAATTTTCAGAGTACTTAAAAAAATGATTATATATTTTGTCATACACAATTAATTGCATTTTATTCTATTTTACATCAAAGGGCAGATCTCTCTATAAAGTACCATTGATTATAAAACATAAAATTCTTAAAAAGGTGGTTCTTCAATAAATGTAAAGTACGAATCAATTATATATTAATAGTTCATGACCTTTTCTGTAATTCTTACCTTCCCTAAAATTAGGAAAAAGATGGTTGAGATTTTAACTTGGTGATTTGATACTCTCCACCCTTTTTATCTTATTACACTGTACTAGAGCCACCTCTTCAGGTGAATAGTGCCTGCTAATTCAACACATTACTGTATATGTCATAAATACTTAGTCCCTAGGATTAAAATTTAACAACAGGCACTTGTCATAAGTCACGGAAAAAATCTAAAATGGCGACAAATAAAAAAGGCCAATTAGCCACATCGCTCACCTGAGCACATTAGCTAGGAAGCAGAAATTAGTTTAGTGTTGAAGAACAGGGAGGGGGGGGGGGATTTAATTTACAGGATGCTTCCATACCTATATTACTAATCATGTCTTTGCTGTTCTTAAACAGAAGAATTTTAAAGAATTTTTTCCCTTTCCCTTATGTACACGTTTTCCTATGTAAAACTCTGATCTCTCCTTTTGGTCTCACCCTACCCACAATAAATTTGAACAAATTTGAATCTACATTATTACTGAGGATGCTTCTATAATAATATGCCTAATCATGGCTCTGCTGCTCTTGAGCAGAACAATTTTTTTTAAAGATGATTCTTGTACATATTCTTACGCAAAACTATGACCCTCTGTTGAGCCCCCAATACCCTGGGGGTCATAATTTGAACAAACTTGATTCTACAATACCTAAGGTTGCTTCTGTATAAATATGACTTATAATGGCTTTGTTGTTTTTGATAAGATTTTAGAGATATTTCCTATGTAACGTGTATGATCAGGTTCTTACAAGGGATTTATAGGTTTTCCTTTTACTCTGTCTGAGTTAATGATTGGTATGATTATTAAGACACCTCTGTCAAAGGGTATATCATACAGTACTTTAATTTTCTCGTATCTAGAGACGGGGACTGGGTAAGGTGCTACTTGCACTGTGTTTCTTTCCTTCACATTGACAGATAAGAACCAGTTGTCTTAATCTTCTTCAGATTTACTACTCCCAGAACTATACATCAATTCCATGGGATATTTGCCACTTGTGTCAATGAATACTGTAGTGGAACGATGCACTAAAACATTAGAATTAGAATGGCAGTTGAAAACGATTTGTTTTTACCAGATAAGTTTTTTATTAATTAAAAACAGAGGGAGATAACTCTTACCAAAATTCAAGGTCATAAATTAGGTCACATATCCCACTTTTACATGCTAATTGTAATAAATGAGAATATTGTCTAAATATACTTAGTATTCAACCCCTACGCATCTGTTATGTATTCAATTTCATTGAATCTGTTGCTATTAGGGATGGGATACCTTAACTTCTTTATTGCTGATTCAACATCCAACTTCTTTAGCTAGCATCTGAATGCCTGATTTTCGAAAACTTTACCTTATAAATCCTTTGGTTTGACTGGTCCATTCCAAGGGTCGTCAGGTCATTCCACTATTTGCAGTCTTCTATGCGTTTTACTCAAATGCCCTTTAATCTTTACACCTATATATTCCTATGTAAAACTTTGACCGACTGTTTTGACCCCGGCCTACCCCGGGGTCATGAATTGAACAAACTTGAATCTACACTACCTGGGGATACTTCTGTATTAATATGACTAATAATGCTTAGCTGTACTTGAGAAGAAGATTTTTAAAGATATTTCCTATATACTTCTATGGTAAATTTTGACCCCATGTTGTGGACTTGTCCTATCCCAAGGGGTCATGATTGGAACAAACTTAGATCTACACTGCCTGTGGATACTTCTTTTATAATATGACCATTCATGGCTTTGCTGTTCTCGAGAAGAAGATTTTTAAAGACATTTTCTATATATTCCTATGTAAAACTTCGATATCCTCTTGTGGACCCGCCCTACCCCCAGGGGTTATGATATGAAAAAAATGAATCTAGAGTATGTAATTAAGCTTTGAAATAAGTTTTATCTTTTCTTGCCCAATGGTTCTTGAGAAGAAGATTTTTAAAAAATGCCACCGTATTTTCACGAATTCCTAATTATCTCCCCTTGAAAGAGGACGCGGCACTTCCTGTGAACAAACTTAAATCCCCTTTACCCAAGGATGCTTTGTGGCTAGTTGGTTGAAAATGGCCCGGTGGTTCTTGAGAAAAGTCGAAAATGTGAAAAGTTTTCAGACGAGAGACAGACGCCGGACACTCTTTGATAAAAAAAAAAATCTCCTCTATTGAGCTAAAAGAAATGAAGAAATAAAAACATTGTTTACATTCAAACTTCGTTGTTGTCTGTTTTAGTTTTAATGTCAACTCAGGTGACCTATTGCTATCTGTTTTTGTCCGTCTTCGCCGGTGTCGTTCGTCTGTCGTATACTTTTAAAACCTTTTCAGCTTCTTCTCTTGAACCACTAAACCAGTTTCAACCAGTTTTGGCATATACATGTAGCATAGCAGATAAACTTAGTGGATGGTTATGATGAGCAATGGTGTTTCTTTCAAAATAAATTATTATCAAATTCTAAAACCTTACTGCATATCTTTAGGACACCACTAATCATATTTCAAAAGACGAAAAAAACCCCGTTGTTTTTCGACCAACAATCGGCCCCCGGATGAAAATCAATATTCCAAAACCTTACTGCACATTCGCACCACTGCCAATCATATTCCACAAAAGTAAACGGACTACTAAGAAAAGTATTTTTAAGGAATTTTTAGGGGAAACGTTTTCGGGCCCCGATTGATCCTAAAGATGAGAAAAAAAATTCAGATTTTTTTTTTGGCGTCTACATCAAACCCGGAATAGTTTTAATGTTAATAAAAAAAAATGTAAGATCTAGAGGAGCTACTTTAGGAAACCAGAATTTTAGAGAAAAACGTCTTTTTAACCCCCTATCGGCCCCAAGTGATAAAATGAAAATTTCAAACTTTATTGCACATGTACAGACCACCACCAATCAACCCCCCCCCCCCCCAAAAAAAAAAGAGAGAAAGAAATGAAAATGTGAGAGGAGTTTGAAGAGGTAGATATATATAATGTGACACGGATGGACCAGGATAACAAATATATACCCACTTTCTTAAGAAAGTAAGGGTATATTAACTGGAGAACAATTCTTAATTGCAATGATATTGTCCTTATTTCCACATTTCAATAAAAAATATCAAATTTAATTCTTAAAATAGAGCATCTTATGGAAATTACAGAAAACAATATGCATCAAAAGACTGAAAATATTTTTGTGTTCCTAAATGAATAACTGTTCCTTCGTCAAGCGCTCGGCACTTTGAAGTGAAAGTTGCGGGTTCTTCGGATGACACCTTAAAAACCGAGGACACGTGTCACGGCAGGCGTTGGCACAATAAAGATCCCTCAATGTTTAATGGCCCTGAGTGCCGAATAAATGTCTAAATTTGAAGCCCTTCACGGGTATATGGTGACGTCTCTATTTGAGTGAAAAATTCTCGATTCGGACGTAAAATAATATACAATCAATCAAAACTTAGCAACAAATTTTGTGTGGCTTGGTGTGTTACTATGGCAGCTATGAAAGTTATGTTTCGAATAATATTGTTTCATGTATAACCTTTAAATGCATGGTCAATTTTTTTTATTATAATTTTTCTTGTGTTGAGTTTGATACTAGTAATAAAATACCTTTCATTAATGAATATTAAACATATTTCTGCGTTTCTCAGCATTTGCGATATGTAAAATTTCTTTAAAGCATGAGTGGCAACAAAGTACATGTATAATTTTTTCTTTCTTTTTTTTTTTTTAGTGGTTAACTTGATTTTCTTATTCTTTATTAAGGTCCAGTAAAAACTCAATGTAGCTGTAAAATTTTCAAAATTTTACGGCTGTTACCATGGCAACCAAGACACGCATACCAATTGTTAGGCGTTTCTTTTTAAAATAAATTTGACTACAGTATTCTGTCTACTTTATCTTTACTTAGACCTCACTATAGATGTAACCGGTCGACAGGGGATGCTTACTCCTTTTAGGCACCTGATCTCACCTCTGGAATTCCCAAATGTTTGATGCCATGCTCATAGATTTGTATTGTTTGAAGATTTTTTTGAGATCGATCACTCTTATCTTTACCTTTTTCATTCAAAGTAACTAATTTCTCTTTGATATATGTTTCTGATGTTGAGCTATAACAATGACGAAATTTTTTCATCAAAATCGGAGACCTATGCGTGCCAAAAAGTTTAAATGGCTACAGAGAATAGCTCTTAATACTTTCTGTGAAATAAGCATCCTTCTTAATACGAAATTTTCAATTTGTGTCAGTCATTTACCTAATTGAATCTTTCGTTGTAGAATGAGTGTAGGATATATGGCGACATTGCAAAATCAAAAAGATGAAAATGTGTATTCCATTCTGAAGTGATTCATTCAAGACTTGTTTTTAATAACTGAAAGATGTAGAGGAAAATCTGTACAAAAGAATACCTGCATTACGCACATACAAAGAATTAATATTTGCTCAGATAGTTTGTTAAATTTATAGCATTTAAAACCGGTTTATCAAGAAAATTAAATATGTTAGTAAACTGATAAAGCAAATTAAAAACAATTTTTATCTTAAAATTGTATGCACCATTTTGTTGAACAGTAGTGAAAAGATTTTCTCAATTTACGGTTCGGGCACATTTGAAATAGAAAAATACCCAAACCGTGTGAGACAGTAGACTAAGCTTAACCTACAGAAATGTACGTTTTGTGAGTTCAGAAGAGCCTGTTGTTATGCAGAAATTTGACTAATGTAATAATACAAGAGGTCATATAAATAATCATGAGGGCATTATTTTAGACTTTGTATGCCTCTGATAAGGAAATATTGTAAGTCTTGGATATTATTTATGATCTTCATTTGACAAGAACCAATGATATGCTCATAAAATTAGCAGTTAAGAATGCCATAGTCACTCAGTTATCGTTTTTATTGTCTTGCGGACACGGTTTAGTGGCGGTCATGCATGATCGATCTTATTGATGGACATCGTCTGTATGACAATTTTTACCAAGGCGAAAGTTGTCGATCTGAAACATGTATTTTAACAAAAAAGCACCTTGAATATCAGGACAATCATGTTGGTGTACAGATAATTATTACTGTGTCTGCTTCTGATGTAAGAAAGTATGACGAAGCGGAACCAAACTTTGTTTTTGGTTTTCCTTTGTGCAGCTGACGTCGGTAAGTCTGTATGTTTCCGTATTATCCTCAAATTTCCATAGAGAGAGAGAGAGAGAGAGAGAGAGAGAGAGAGAGTTCTCAAAGATAATGCACTTTTTGTTTTGTAAAAAATATGGGAATATTCATTCAGCGTGAAAAGCAATGTACTACCGTGCTGATCATTGAAAATTCATCATAACTGATAGACATTTTTGAATGTTTACTTTTACTTTTAAAATGATAAATTATTGGACATAGTTATATACCAATGTGTATATATATTTTGAAATTTTATTGTATGTCAGCTATCCGCTAATCAGTTATTTAAATAACTCCACGATTCAGTTGACTTTTCTCAATGAAAAAAATCATGACTAAATTCATACAACTAAAGAACTGAAAAAAATTATCAAAGCTTTTTAGAGATTAATTGTTCCTCTACGTTGATACGCTTCATTTCTGAATAATTATAATTTCTATTTTTTTTTTCTATTCAGCTCTGAAGGGAGTGGACATAATTGCACCAAGTGTCATAGTTCTTCAGAGAGGCGGACTGGAAATAATGTGCAGACCATCTAAGGATAAAGATGAGATAGAAAAAGTAACAAACATCATCCTCTTGAGTAACAAAGTAGCCCCATTCACTAGCAGTGTATCACAGATTGCCCGAGCCGTTACCAAAAACAAAAACGATACAATGCTTAATTTATACTGGACCGATAGGCGATACCAATTAACAGGTATGGTTATTGTTTTTTGTTTTTTCTGCTATTCATTTTTATTAAAAGTGTCTATTCATATGAATAGAAAACCGTTGATATATATATATATATATATATATATATATATATATATATATATATATATATATATATATATATATATATATATATATATAAGTTAAAAATTTAAAGAGACCTGCTACAAATTAAAAGAAATGGAATTCAGGATTAGAAAATGTGAAATCACTAATTTTCATGGAGCTACATGTATACCTCTTATTTGCGTTGTTTCCGTGGTGTGAAGAGACCCACGAATTCATGTTCTCCGCGAAATGTAAAATTTTGTATAACTATATCAATATATAAATATCAATGCAGCTCTTCTCAACAACGTAATCAAATCCCCTTGTACATAATTTCTCCTCGAACCACGAAAATTGATGTCCAATTTTTTCCTTCCAGTCTTTAACAATTTTTGCTGTGTGAAGGGTCACTGAACCTTCATTAATTTTGTTGAAATTTGATAAGTAAAGAGAGTATCAAAATAGACCCATCAAAAATATGATTTTGCAGTATATTTTGATTTTAAATGATGTAAATATCACTTTCCCCAAAAATGTATGAAATACACTGTAAATATTCTATGATTTGTAACATTCTCACTCTTACCCATTTTCCTTATTTATCTATGCAATTTTAATCACTTTCTTGGATACGACTAAGTAATTTTGAAGATAATTAATGTGGTTCAACTTAAACATTTACATTGAGGATCAGTTCTTAAGATAACATAATGGAAACAAAATATATCTGATTCATTCGCACTTAGAGGTATACCTTTTCTTTTTCAAAATAATGGGAGGAGATACCTTCTTCAAAATGTATTCATTACGGAAGTTTCACACTAAAACATTTTCTTCTTCAAAATTCAGAATAACACTGCAAGGATAATTGATGAAGATACGGAAGTAATACAAACCTTGTGCTTCAGAGTAATTTTTATGCTTTATGAAAAGTAAAATTGATATCATTTAGTGATATAATATATAAGATACATGGAATGCTTTCTTCTCCTACGCAGCTAGCCTAATTAAGCTCACCTCTGATGTTTCCAGAGGACCTAGTTTTTCCTTGTTCACGATTCGTATTCTCTCTGGATTGATGAGGTTCATCACTGTTCGTTATCTTCACCTTTTACATTTGATAAATAACATAAATGGTCATTCTTCCATGTTTTTTTTTTTTTACCTCAAAGCGGTTGCATAAATACCCTGAATTAGCGTGTTTTTGGAACAACTCTTTACTGGGTTTTGATGTCAATCTAAAGTCAAGGTTATTAAATGATCAGGAATATGATGCTCTCTGATTGGTCTAGATGCCCTTTTCCGAGGTGTACCTCAGAGTGAGTTCACCTCAAAATGAAGTTCTGGAAGGTGTATTCGGGTTTTCTCTCTTTGCCATCCACAGATTTGTTTTTATATTTTCGACCAGTCAATTTGTGCATTTGAAAGTACTTGTGGTTGTGAATAAAACATGGCGGACTCTAGTACCAAAAGACTAAGCTCCTTTATTAGTAAATGGCTGAGTATTTATTGTTTTATAATATTTCTTTCCACTTTAAAACAGTTGTTTTATCGTTGAGATATAATTATGTTTTGTTACACGCATTGTATTATGAGTTTTTCTATTTGTTGGAAATAAGAACTGAAGTGTCAAAAATGTTGTAAATTTCCTGACTATTTAATAAATCCAAGTCAATAGTTGTTTAGTATTTTTCATTTTTATTAGCTGTAGATTTGAAAAGCTTGAAATTGAATATTGATTAACAAAAGCAAACTGAACAGTCCAATAATCGAAATTGGGGAAATTCTTGCAGATATAACTGACAATCGGACCCCTTTTTCCTTTGGAAACCCTCCCTTTCTTACTCTTTAAAATAAAGAATCTTAAATTTCGAATTTTAAGATATAAAAATATAAAAATACAATACCATAAATAATTTTTCAGTAAGATTAAAAAGATTTTATTTCGCTACCGATATCTTTGAAAATTTTTTGAATATAAGTGCATTAAGTGAGTTGAACTGGTGTTAATTTTTCCTAAAAAAAAAAAAACAAAATTAGGGCGTAGGATAATGCGTGATTTCTAGCAGTCTCTGTTTGTGTTTTTCGTGAATAAATGCAGATTAAACTGTCATTTTACACTTTCTGAAGCATTATTTTATTGAAATGTCATCTCTCTACTTTATGCAGAGGAGCGGTTTTACGTCTAATTTTAATAAGATTGAGCAAGTCCATGGCACAAAAAATGTAACAAGATGCACGTTCTTGTAAATTATTCAGCAATACAATGATTTATGTAGTTGTCCAAGTTATCATGCATAGAGGATATCTAATGTTTTGTGATTGAATATGAAATTAATTCTACGAGTGGGACAGAATGTTCTGATATGTTCACAAGTGCGATATCAAAAATCCTGTCTCGTGTTTGAAAGAAACAACATATCAAACTATACGTAAAGTAATGATTTTTTTTCTCTATCATAATTTCTTTGATTTTCCATTCGTCTGTGTAATTTTGGAACTCAGTGTTGTACACAGGATGTGAGATAATAGTTAATCGTTAATCTATGTGGTTTTTGGAGACCAGGTCTTCCAACAATCTATTGGAATTTCTATGGGTACCAATTGCGCCCCGTTATTAGCAGACCTTTTTTTGTATTCATATGAAGCAGAATTTGTCCAAAATCTTGTACGTGAAAAGAAGAAAATTTAAACACTTGCTGTGGCGTTCAACTCGACATTTAGATATATCGACGACGTATTGTCAATTAACAATGGCTATTTTCATTCTTATGTCGATACGATATATCCTGGTGAACTTGAGATAAAAGATACCACAGAGTCTGACACATCTGTTTCATATTTGGATATTTTACTTGAAAAAGACGTTAATGGTAATCTAACAACCAAGCTTTATGATAAACGTGATGACTTTAACTTTTCAATCGTCAACTTCCCTTACTTATGCAGCAATATACCTTCATCACCTGCATACGGGGTATATATCTCTCAGTTGATTCGATACGCAAGAGCATGCTCTACGTATGTACAATTTCTAAAACGAGGTAAATTATTGACAAATAAGTTGATGAAACAAGAATATCAGCTATCTCGTTTAAAGTCATCATTTCGTAAGTTCTATGGTCGATACAATGACCTTGTCAGCAAATACAATTTATCATTGAGTCAAATGCTGACTGACGTTTTTCATACTAATTGTTAGACCATTATTAACACACTGAATTGTTGACGGATTTTTCCGTTATTTCCCGATCATGACAAGGAGCACACGGCGGGTGTGACCGGTCGGCAGGGGATGCTCACTCCTCCCTGGCACCTGATCCCACCTCTGATGTTTGGAGGTCCGTGTTTGCTCTGCTCCTATTTTGTATTGTATAATGGACTTTTGAGCTTGAATACTGTTCGTTATCTCCATATATTTCATTGTTAGAGGTCATAGATACATGTAAGCGCTTGTGAGTTTAACTATTGTAAACATGGATTTTACCAAGAACTTAAAGAAACTTTGGCAGTTTGTGTTAGTATGGTGTATTTACTATTGCTTTCTTGTAACAGATATTCTTTTTATATTTAGTCTTCGTGAAGGGTCACTTTTGATATTTTTCATTGGGAAAAATATAACTTTCAAAAATTTCTCTTTTATTCAATGGATAAATTACATTAGTTCACGGTTGAAAATGTAATAAAGTGTTATATTCAATATGTTGCATCTTTATTTTTAATTGATACACATGAAATATAAAGATAATAGGTATGATTGGTTACTCACACCAAACCCTTAAGGCTAACAAGCATCAATTAATTTTTTTGATGTCGAAGACTTAGAGTCTGGTAACATTTAAGGTTCACATCATTCTGCTCACTTTTATCATCAAATAAAAATGAAGTCCTGTTAATTTGCCGACAAACCATTAAGAAAATTTAATTCCTTGAACACAAGTTAGTATTTACATGTTCCTTTAGAATGACATGGTCCTTAACTTTTTACGGAAGCCGGTAGGTGCCAGGTAGAAAAATATTTTATCTGGCGGCCGCCAAATAATTTTCTGGCGGCCGCCACAAAATTTATCTGGCGACCGCCAGATAACTATTTGACGGCCGCCAGATAATTTCTGGCAGCCGCCAGATCTATTTATCTGGCGGCCGCCAGAAAGTTATTTGGCGGCCCCCAGATAAGTTTCTGGCGGCCGCCAGATAAAATATTTTTTCTACCTGGCATCAACCGGCTTCCATAACTTTTAATATAGTTCTATGGAGAAAATATTTAGCAGAAAAGCGTTTTTTTTTTCACCTTCTTTGTCATTTTTTTTTTATTTTAAAAATTGTAAAATTGAATCCTTAGATATCATCCTAAGATGGGAAAATCAAATTGAATCAACATACCTCAGGAAATGTATCCAAGGAAAATTAAATTAATGAATTTATAAAAACTTGGTAAACCTGTAACCTGTTCCCTAGAAATAATTTGAGCCAATTCGATGCGAGAGCATAAAACATTAGCTTTGGTAAATCTTATTCAAGTATGAAAACAAAGCATGCTCACCCAGTACATTTTTCATCTATTCGTCAAAACGTTGTAGCTATGAATATTCGAAGTCTTTTCTCGTAAATCTAAATCTTGTTTAACTCCATGCTTGTGTGATGCAATTATCTGGACATATATATTTTGAACACGTCGAAATCAGAAATTATAACTGTTTTAGCAAAGTAAGTTTCTAGCGAATCTGAGTTATGTCATTTTTTAATTAAGTGAATAAGACAAAATCCCAGCAAATCTTTGTCATAATCACATGTTTTGAAAAATCATTGTTAATCTCTTTAAGAGAATTTCAAAAGAATGTGACAAAACGCATTTTCCAATTTCTAATAATACAATGCATATATGAAGAAAATGAATACGTATAAGCATACTTATATATAAATTTATTATGCATTATGCTTGATATGATAAATAGGTAAAACAGGGAATCCCACCACGGCCTACTTACGACTGGCTGTTAGTAGAGCAGATGTTTCCTGTGAGGATTCAGCCAGGTATAGATGTCAAATGGAGGCTATGATGGCGGACGGAAGTGTAAAAACTTACATTAAAGATACACAAATATCCATATCAGGTTAGACTAAATCACAGTGTGGTCAAAACTCAGGGCAAAAGATAAACGATATTAAAGAATTTAAGACTGAAGAAATGTAATTTCTATTGCAATAGTAAAAAATCACATACTAGCTTTAAGAAGGAATACAATTATATAAATAGTGCATGTTTTTGAGGGTAACAGTTGAAATTGACACCCCAAGGAAAACCATTGTCAACCGACGCGTGACGTCGGTTGACAATGGTTTCCTTGGGGTGTCAATTTCAACTGTTATCCTCAAAAACACGCACTATTTATTTTATTATATTGAATGTGTTATTGATTAAGGATGTCAGCAAAAAAAAGTATAAATAATATCAATTGTTCTGCATGTACCATGTCTAATTAAATTTAATTATTTTGATGCAATTGCTCTACCACACTAAATTAGTTATTTTGATGCATGAAGCAAACATGCAGTCTCCCCGATCTGATTCTGATTGAAGAAAAACACAACTACCTTTGAACAAAACATTTCAGCTACCGAAACTTTAATATATGACAGCATGAAAGTATATCCCCGAAGCCATAGCACGACTCCATATGGACAGTACCCGCTAAACACAGAACTTACCCTGTCTTGTGCAGCGTTAGTTGAAAGGGAAAGTAAAGATTTGACTTGGTGCATCTACAGGGGATACTCAACAAAAGCACAAGAGTATGACGCTGTAAAAAGGACTCGAGTGAAAATGAACAAACCTTGTGCGTACCATTTATTAAGTGAGATACAATATGTGCTGAATCGGAGTAATGTCTTCACGTGGATTATCTGCAAATTTGGACCTTGCAACACCTTAACTGACAAATCAAATGTCTTTTCTGTATTTACGTGTAAGTGAATGTTCAAGAAATATTAATAACTTTTTATATTCATATTTTGCTAGATTTGAAGAGAGAGAGAGAGAGAGAGAGAGAGAGAGAGAGAGAGAGAGAGAGATTCATATTTTTAAAATACTTTTTGTTGCAAAATCAGAGTGTAGGAGCTAGACAACATTTTTTTTACAGTGGTAATGCATTCAATTTTGTGAAACACTCAAGGAATGTTTACATATGCAATTTAAACCTTGAAATAGAATGAAATAATTTAATTTTGGTTGTAACGCGTCATTTGATTGGGTAAAAAAATTAGAATATATCATATAACCTGGGTTGCCTACGTCACAATGACTTACGTCAAAAACGTATCAATCCGCTTGACGTTACATTTAAAATACGTACAATTTGAAGGCATTTTTGAAGGAGAAATTGTCTTTTTTTTTACACTTAATGATGGAAAATTAAATTATAAGGAATGAATTTAATAGCTACCCAATTTATTCTTGTATAACCTGGGTTGGAACAGTTTACGCTTTTTTATAAACCGCTTCGCGGTTTATAAAGCGTAAACTGCCCCAACCCAGGTTATACCAGTATAACTTGGGTAGGTATTAAATTTCATTCCTGAAATAACTGTAATTCATATATTTTGTAGATTCACAAGGATATCGAAATATTTCAGATAGTGATATACTTCTTTCTACTGTTCTACCATCTAGTATGTATACCACTTTTACACAAACAGTTTTTAATGATTTCATAACTATTCATTGGTAATTCATATTACAATTGATAACCTTTGTATTTAATTCCGACTTTTTTCGAATTGTCAACAAGTGGAAACCTCTTTTATTTCATGTGATTTTATATTTTCGAGAACTCTTCTCATATTCAATATAACTATTTTCACGAATGAAATTAAATAATTAAATGAAAATAATTAAGTCGTTCAAAAATATATACCGATGATATACCCCCACAGACAACAGGGATAGCCTGAACGTCAAATGCATATGAGTGTTCTAAAAACTGCATAGGAATGATTTTACACTTTAAATGTAGAATTTGGATCACTTGTTGCAGAGTCTGGGAAAGGGGTTTTGTTTGGCGGATAAGCCTATGCGTTTTATCCAATGCATTTTCAATAAGGGTTGAATCTGGCAATTAAGTTGACCAATGCAGAAAAGGATGCTGTCGTTTTGCAAGAATGCGATTGTCAAAGAAGCCGAATGTGGCTGTGTATTGTCAGATTGAAATACAGCTCCAGGGTGCTGCATTATTGGAAAGACATGTGCAGATAGGACGTCTTCAGAATACCTTTAAAGTCCTTTGAATATGAACCAAATTAGTCCTACTTTTATTAATTACAAATCTAATATAGGTCGCCCTCGTGGCGCAGTGGTTAGAGCGTCGATCTGCTCTAGAGTCGCGGAGTAAGGAGTTGATCCTTACGTCGCGGGTTCGAATCCCACTGTGGGACGTGGAGACCGGTCCTTCGGATGAGACCGTATAAACCGAGGTCCCATGTCGCAGTAGGTGCTGGCACGCAAAAAGATCCCTCACTGCTCAATGGCCGTAAGTGCCGAGTATAGGACAAAATTTGCAGCTCTCCACCGGCAAGTGGTGGCGTCTCCATATGAGTGAAAAATTCTCGAGAGGGACGTTAAACAACATACAAACAAACAAACAAATCTAATATCCCTTTCTGAATGATGGACAAACAAGACAGCTAAAATATGGTATAAACAAATGTATCCCAAACACTGAGAAACCGAAAGCGGGGGACTACAATCTTTGAATTTGCTTGTTTGCTTGGTGTTAGATTCAAAATTATTTTTTTGTTTTGCAGATATAGAGTCATCATCCAACGCAGCTAAAGTGATATCTGTGATTTCCATTGTACTGGTCCTATTATTGATATTTCTTGTTATGGCGGCTCTCTGGATTTATAAATTCAGGATTTCAAAGGGACAAAAGATAACCCTTAAAAACTGGAGAAGTATGTACTTCCTTTCTTTTCTGATTAAACTTACGCGTTTCGACTAACTACTCATTAAGTTGCCTGCAAACTTTTACAAAACGTAACACAATTTCAGCAATTTGAATTTCTTTGATAAAGAAGCTTCATTATTATACACATGTATTTAAAACAAAAATCACATAAGGCAAATTGGAATTTAAATTTTTATTTCTGACTGATAGGATCTGTAACGATCCTTCATTTCCTTGGTAAATTTTATATGCACCAAAATTGTATTCTTGTTCTGAAACCTCAGATCATGACTAAAACAAAAATCATCAGAACTAGGCTAGTTGTGATTTCATTGCAATTAACGAGAGGTCTTCCATCCGATTCTCCGTATTTGTATATACAGTGTATAATTGTATGCAAGTAAAAGTACATTTGTATATGCAGCATGTAGTAATAGAGACACACAGAAAAAAAAAAAAACACCACATTGAAAGAAATGTAGGAAAATATCACAACGAAACGGTCGGTGACAATTCAACGCAGATGTCTGAAAAAAAAAAAAAAAAAAAAAAACATTGGATCAAAATTATTGTTCAAAAATTGTTTTTAGTCCACATAAGTAATATTTATACACAAAATGTAGATGATAAATAATTTCAGAATTTTCTATCAAATGCTTTTAAATTCAGGCGAATCAATTATAGATATATATAAATGTTTTTTGGGGATGACCATTCAATCCTGACAAGGGGTGGGGGGTCTTCCTAATATTGAGTCAGATTTTTTTTTCTTTTTAGGCCTTAACAGGCAGATTATTTTTTTCCTGAGATGACCAAGGATATATTTTATTGTTTAATAAGCAAAGTTAACGAAAGAAGGGAGAGGGGACTGCCAAAACTCATTTACTCAATCTTTCATCTTTGCTAGCAAAGATTTGAAATTCCTTACATGTACTAACAAATCAGGTGGAGGAAGGCCCATAATTCAATATCAGATTACTTATTTCAATGCCTTTAGAGGACAGAGTATTTATATTTTCAAAGATAGATTATTCATTTCCAAAATCTGCCAGCTCCCCTTGTCCTATAGAATCAAATTGCCTCCCGAAAGACATTCTTTGCTTTTAAAAATTAGATAGAAAAGTCTTATTTGTATAAATTCAAATTATATAGAAACTAACATAATATTATTTGTCTTTCTACTTTGCGTAAGAGAATAGCCAAGGTGGATTGAAATTCAACAAACAATCATTTCAATCCAATGTTTACTCTGACGTCTGCGATAATTTCAATGCGGACGTCTGAGAAAACATTGGATTGAAATTCTAGATCTCACAAGAATTTCCATCCAATTTTTTCTCAGACGTCCGCGACAAATTACGCTAACCATTACGCTAGCTGGACCAGAGCTTGTGAAAAATGATAACTAACCAGGGTTTAAATTTATCAATTTTAAAACATTATATATTTAGTATTCTGAAGATAGTCTTTATTAACACTATTAATTTCAAATAAAAGGATTGAAAAATGAAAAAAAAAAATGAAAAATTTGCCTTTTTTCCTGTAGTGACCGGAAGAACTGACGACTCATAAAAAGATCGTTCCACGCATCTGCGACTCGTGCTCTTTTATCCTTGACCATATCCCCAGTTACCATCTTGAGCCATTCTTGAAAAAACTCGCGGACAAAATTTCATTTTAAAATCAGGAAATTGTGCATAACTTGGCTCTGGAAGCAAATTTTCAAAAAACAAAACAAAACAAAAACAAAAATACAAAAAAAAAACAAAACACAAAAAAACAAAACAAAACAAAACAAAACAAAACAAAACAAAAAACAAAAAACAAAAAACAAAAAAAAAAAAGAAAAAAAAAAAAAAAAAAAAAAAACCGGAATTTTTTAAATAAATTTTATAGAGACCTTTCATCTCTGAAAATTTAATAAAAATCCACTTAACAGCTTTCGAGAAATCGTCTGCACAAAATTTTGACTAAAAACATAATTAGAACAGTTAAATCACAATATGGTATTCCGTGAAGATGGAAGACCTAATTAAAATTTCTTCGGCGATATCGAAAATTCAAATAAACAACACGGGAGCTGGAGTAGAACCCGTTTACATGCATAAATGCTTATATGAATTGAATTCAAAACAGGTTTCAAAGTATCAAAGACACAAAAGCTTATAAATGTATGGTCATTCAGCAAGTTTGATGAATTCAATTTTAATTCATTTAAGTCTTTCTATAACAATTCATAATGATCTTATTTTACCAAAATCCTCTAAATAAATAATACATGATACCGATAGTATGGAAAAATACTGATCATATCAATTTTTAAAAATATATTATCGATATGATGTTTGTTTCGTTTATGCTAAGAAATGAATAAAAACATTACCTTTTCTTTACAGCATATTTCCGAAGTAAAAGCATAGAATCAGTAAGGTAAATAGAGATCATCTTTTAATAACACAGAGATTATCAAGTATATAAAGTTTCATTAACAATTCCGATAATATCAATACATGTTTTACAATATTTAATAAAATACAGAGAGATTTTTGTGGGAGCCATTTACATGAATGGCTCAAGTGGTTTTTCTGATCTGATTATATATCTCGTCCAACTGTTTGAAGTTTGTAAAATTTTCCAATTTTGAACTTCACCTGAACCAACAAACCAATTGCAAAATTACTTACCACAAGGGAACTTTGGATTAAATGGGACTATTTTGCTTAAAAAAATATCTTCATTTCAAACATACATGGACCATTTTCTATTACGTAAATCGGCATTAAAAGCGGTATTAAAAATTGTCTACAAGAGTATAATTAATTTAATACGATCGGCACTGCTAGAATACTTCTAATTGGATCAATATTGTAAGAATATCAACTTATTTCTGATTAAAGTTGGAATGTACATGTATTCTTAACAGTCATCACAGGAAACGTGTTTTAAATACAAAATATTATAAAACCAATGATGTACGTTTAGAAAAAAAGTTTAATGTTAAGCAAATTTACATCAAAATATATTAGGAAGTATTTACTTATTTTTGCTGTAGATATATGATTCACGCATTTAGAGTTTAGTTTCAAAAATGTCTTGCATTGTAAAAAGGAATGCATATACAAGGCTAGAATTTAAACATATCATACAAGTACATGTGTGCTATAATATACGTGTTAAACTAGTTGATTAAGGTTAATTTAAGAAGGACTTACTTGCCACGTGATTAAAATATATTTAATATCTTGTCTGATAAAGAATATTTTGTATAATTCCGTGTGTCCATTTTTATTCAGTGAAAGCTGTCAAACGGAAGTTACTACAACAACAACGCCAGTATATGACATTGGTAAGTTTCTGTTTAGATTTTGCAAGCCCATTACATATCTGAACATGGTTCGGATAATTAGATTTTATACAATTTATAGAATGATCAAAATTCCTCTGTTAAGCCCATGGGTTAGTTTAAATTATCGTTATATTCAGAGAAATGCACGAAAAAGACATATACACTCTCAATGTTTTTGATTTCAGATGATTGCAGTCAGTAAGTTATAAATTTTAATTATATTTATTTTTTCTGTCTCGGCAAAGACGTTATTTCTTAATATTATGGTTTGACAATGTAGGATTGGGAATAGATGAATGAGTGGGAAGTAAGAAAAAAAAGGGGGGAAACTGAAAATGAGGAAAAGAATTAAGATTGAAAAATACAATGTATTGTCGATATACAAGTATTTTCCTATTTTAATCATTTATTGTTAAGCATGAACATATTATTACAGTAATTGTTAATTGTGATTAACATATTTGCGATAAATACCTTAAAATATGATGCATGCACGTGTTTGTGTATGTATAATATAAGTATGTGTCGTATATCATTAATGTGTTCACAAATACTCCTCTTTGTATATTTGTTGAAAAGAATACTTGCATGATGATCATAGATAACGTATTTGTTTTGTTTGTTTCTTTTTGTTACAGGTCTGTAAATATTAATTTTAACATTAATATACAAATATTTAATTTTTCAAATGTCCACTGTTACATATGCAACTGTATCCTTTACAATTTACAATCTTCTAACTTTAAACAATGATTGAAATCAAGGAATAATCTAGCTTTCAGTTTCCTTTCGCAGTGCATTCTCAGCATAAAAAAAAATTGTTTTGGCCATTGGGAAATGGTTTCATTACCAACTTTCTTTTTTGTGTCTTTCCAAAGGCTGACTAAGTTGCGTTGGGGAAAGGATGTACAGTGTCGCTCTGTTCTCACTGCTACAAAGTAGATGGCTTATAACTTATTGCAGCCCGGAGGACCGGGCTGCTCTATACATATAAGTTTAAGTATTGGTATATGGGAATTGAGGTGGGAGAAGTTATTCAGAATTAAAGGTTTTCTAAACATTAAAAAGATTGTTAATCAGAATGTTCTTTCCCTTTATAAATTACGAGATACACAATATATTTACTTCCATAAAGTGAATCTGTAAAAATATATATGTTTTTCATATTTAATATATAAAGTTGCTTATCATTTACAATCGAAAAAACGACAGGTCCCTTTTTTTTAGAACATCGAATTTTACTTATCGCATAAAAACGTAAAAACGTACTTTACACAGTTCGTGTTTTATATTCTTAAAGTGAAAGAAAGACATTTTTGAAAATAGGTGATGCATGTGTCTGGTTTCAATTTATATTTTATGCAGCCAACATTTACTTGAGGAATTGATAAAGTTTAAAAGATTATCGTTTTTGTTCGATTTTCATCCGACTATAGGTTTTCAAAATATTCTCGACTATCGTCTCCATCATTTAGACGCATGCCTTTTTCACACATATCGAAGCGGTTTGATGATCAAGACTCATTTCCATTGTTTACTTTATTTATTTCCCGGGCGACAATTGATGGTTACATCAATGTTTTCTTGTTTATTATTTAAGTAATTATGTCTTGTTTCCAAGAAGAAATAAGTAGTCCGTGATTTTTCCCCTTTTTCTGAAGACTTAATTCTTTGCAAGAGCTAATTTTTTTGGCTTTTTAATTTTATATAATCCCATTATAGGAAAAACTCGGGATACAACAAGATAAATATGATCATGCAATAAAATTCAGCCAGGAGGAGAAAATATGTCAAAATAGTAGGAGTTGTAGGGTGTGAGAAAAGCTAGGATTGAGGGAGAGAAAAATTTACCCTTTTTGCCTTTTGTCTACGTAGATATCTTTACCTATATCTGCATTCAAAAATTATCAGCAAGATTATTTTTAATGACAATTGCTTTTAAAAAGTTTGATTAAAAAAATGAATCAGAATTTACAGAACGTACATTTTGAAAAGCAAACGGAAAACACAAGCTTAAAAGGACGTAACGTTTTTTTCTTCTTCAATATTAATGAGGATATTTTCAGTAATTACACGTACTAATTATCTTTATTGTGTATTGCTCACAGCTATATCTTGTTTGTTATAAGAAAAAAATTAAACAACGTAGAAAAGTGCATACATGCTCAGCAGCAGTAGAATATTTTCAAATACAGAAATGATGTTTAATATTACAGATAAGTGTTATTATATAATATTAATAGTACAGATTTATCTGACATATGAAAAGAATACATTCATTTTCATAAGCATTTAAAAAGTCAACGTCTTTTGAGATAACAATATTACAAATTAAAAGTCACTTAAGTAACGGTTCCTTTTTGGATTCTGACTACATGAAATATTCAAAGCATATTTGCTTTAATATCTTCTAATTGTAGATGGAATTTGAATTGCAATATAATTTTTCTTATCTTGGAATTGTACATCTTTAAAAAGAAATGGTTAAATGAGTTTAAAATCTAACAGGAACAATTTTTTTTAGCGGACAGCGCTGTATTAAAATTTCTTTTTTCTGCTTTTCAAAATTTGGGTGTACTCGAAATTTCAGATGAATTGACCTATAGGCGAGAACAATTTTCCTGAAAAAGTCACATTTCAATATCAAATAAAATATTCATTAGTTATTCTCTATCGTATGTATGTCTTTTTTCAATTTTGTGTTTTGAACTTTAATATTACCCTTTACAATTTTAAGATTAATCCTCAAAGTTGGTTTAAACAGCATTTTCCCCGTTAAGGATAAATACCACAAACTTTTTATCAGAAATATTAAATTTGTGTTGATCTAAGAACTTGTCTAATCCGGACACCAACAAAATTCTGGATTAGGGAACGTTTTTAACAATTGAATTTGCTGAAAAGGATTTAAAGTTAATATCATATTTGACAAGACTTCGGAACACACAACACCCGGATTAGACAAGTTTCAATATAACCTGAATAACGTTTGCCAAAGAAAGTTTTTTCTAACGATTTCATAACTACGTCATGAAATATGTTGCAAAATTTTTTTTGATTTATACTAAAGAAAATGACGAAAAATTGCAAATATGAACACCAGTGAATTCTTACTAAGTCTTTATAGTTTAGGAATTTTATATCTTTGTCATTTCAATTCAAAATGAAAAAAATATATCAATCCATACATCATTTTTTGGTTTGAATTATGTATTCCTAAAGCAACGAGTACTGCAGGAAATGTTGCAAAGAAGTCTTTCAGGGCAGCCCTGTCTCTAAATAAAATTATGAGATTTTGACAGCTTGTGATCTAAGTAGTAATTTATTTTAAGTAGGATTTTTAGGGGCACCACCGCACTAGGGTCGAAATTATAAAAAATGATCTACAAAATATAAGGAGACTTGTTTTTGACAACCGAGTTCATATTTATATGACTTACATTTATAGTTAGAATAGCTCAGACTATTTGGACAAAAAATATTCACTCTGTGATACAAGATACAATCCTTAGAATTTTATTAATCAAATACATTTACTTGCGCAACAACATTCCTATGCACATTATGTGCAACCTGGATCACAACAAATGTTTATGTCTGAATTACTGAGCTGGAGAGTACATGTATTGCCTGTGTTATTTGGGCTTAGAATTAGGTATAAATCTACATTTATAGTCAGTGTTCTAAATACACAAGAGAAGTTTTTAAACAGCAGGGCTACATGGTAGTAACTACACTCCATAGGATTCATTCATATAATTTGTACACATCAATGGTATGTTTTTATTTTTTCCAAGGAAATGTTACAAAATAAACAGAAACAATTAAATATAGGAAGCATAGAAAAATAACATTCTCTAAAATTAAAAAAAAGGAAATTCGTGTTAGCCTATATCTATTTTAGTTAAATAACATATTTCAATGTATAATCTGAAAGATTCATAGTGATATAATCATTTTATGCAAAATGAAAAGTTAAACTTTAGAAATAGAAATACTTTTATGTATTATATAACTGGCAACAGTAATTTTGTATCCTTATTATCAAGAAACTAGATGATGATCTTGACCTGACCTTGTTTTTAAAAGAGGACGCTAATTAATTAATTACAATCACTTAGTATACAGTCTTCTTGAATCTGAGAAAATTTCATCGGTTTTTTAAACATGAGAAAAGTCCATCTAAAGCAAAACTTGATAAAACTGAACTAATAAATCTTAACGTTCGAGATACTTCGTTTTCCGCTCACTATGATACTACCCATTCATATTCTGGAAAACAATTTCATAGGTAAAACACAAAGTTGAAATCGCATGGGCAAATTGGTAAATTGCTGAAATATAATCAGAGGAAGTTCTTATTTAACAAACATTTCTTTCAGAGAAAATATTAGTGATACATTGCAGTGGTAAAAAATATCATATAAACCACTTTGGAGTTCAGAGTAGTCCCTTGTCAAGGATTATGTTTAATAATTTGCCGTTTCTTCTGGATATCGCGCTGACACGTTGACAACTATATAGTATTAGGCAAATTATTGGAGTGAAAATCAATTTAACTGCTTCAGACAAGATTGTTCAGGTCTCTTGGTGATGGAAATAATTATGTTAAAATAACATTAAGTTTACTACATGAAATTGGCGAATCATCCAATGATTGCTATAAATTAGTCACTTAAGATTTTTTTAAGAATGTAAATTTCAGAAGGTATTTCCAACTAGAAGAGACGCGACGTTGGTAATTGCTACTAACAAGAGAATGTTTTTTAAATCTTTTTTCAGCAAGAATTTTTCGAAACAGTTTTTTTCTGAAAAGCATATTATATAATGCAGGAAAGTAAAGAGTGCTTTCTGACCAATATCATAATATGAAATATGAATACTGTTTCTAAGGTATTCATACAATAATAAACCGTATTATTCAGTGATCTTAAAAAATCCAACCTTTAGAGTGTCTAAACAAACATTTACCGTCTCCCACAAAGACCCCTTGTCCTTGTTATGACAAATATTTATTATAATAAACATTATTTTACGAAAGCTAAAGGTGTAAATAGATCGTATAGGCAAGCCGCACGACCCAGTCTGACGTAAACCCTTTTCCGTTATTTCCCGATCATAACAAGGAGCAATCGGCGGGTGTGACCGATCGGCAGGGGATGCTTACTCCTCCATGGCACCTGATCCAACTTCTGATGTCTTAGAGGTCCGTGTTTGCTCTGCTCCTATTTTGTAATGTTTAATGGACATTTGAGCTCGAATACTGTTCGTTATCTCCACATATTTCATTTCATGATAACGGCAAAAATGGATTTCGAATTTTTGTTCGTGGACACGTGCTATTTTTTTTCTTTATTATGCAACACTGCTAAATGTGTGCAATAATATTTATAGATAGACCTTAACTGAGTAAAATTTTAAAATTCAAAACAATGAATGATAATTTACGAGCGTCATCAGTATGAACACTTCGTACAGGCTGCGCTAGATTTAAAAGAACGTCAAAATAGGGGTATCCTATTTTCATTTAATAATAGTAGTTTTCCACTTCTTGAAGTGTCTCTCAGATTGTACACGTCGTTGAAAAATCGCATATAACCGATTTCAAATCAATGAACGTAATATATTTCAATAATTTCCAGTTCT